TTGGGCTCTTCCTGATTTTCCTTATCTGAATCCTTATCTATATAGTATTCTATAGGGTATTCTGTTGCATATTTTATGCATTCTATAAAGTACTCTATATGGTATTCTATAAGGTATATGCAAAGTATACAAGGGGTATCATACATACGGGGTATTCTATAAGGTGTTCTATAGGGTTTCCAGATGTATTCTAAAATGTGCATATGGGATATATAAGGGGTATTAAATACAGTATTCTCCAAGTATTTTATAAGGCAATCTGTGAGTATTCTGTAGGACATTCTACACGGGATTCCATAGGGTATTCTGTAAAATATGTACAGGTGGTATTCTAGAAGGTAGCCTATCAGGTATCTTTAAATTCAATTGTGTATTCAATTAGGTATATATAAGGTATATAAAGCGACGCAAGGCTATGAAGTGGAGGGGTGGGCGCATAGGAAGGGGCGAGGCCTTGAAGGCGGATAAAGAGATGGTGGGAGATACTGGGGGCGAAACGGGTGGATAAGGTGAGGTGATGAGTATACCTCATTGAATACCTTATAGGCTTATACAGAATAGTTTATAGAAGACTTTTTAGAAAAACCACCTATGTAAACTTTACAGAATACAATACAGAATACCCTGCAGAATGCCCTATAGACTACTCAAAGACTTCCTTATAGATTACCTTATAGACAGAATAGCTTATAGAATACCTTATAGAATAATTGATATAATACACCCGATATGCCCTATATATACCTTATAGAATACCATCTGGAATACGTTATGGAATGCCCCGTACATATGATAGCCCTTGTATACCTTGTATATCCCGTATGTATGATAGCCCTTGTATACTTTGTATATCCTATAGAATACAGTATCTTATAGATAAAGGATTTGCTTGGAAAATGAGAAGGAGCCCAAGGTCTGAGAATTCCCCAGTTGAATATTGTCCTGTAATGAATCCTCTAATGAATTGAAGCTTATTTAGTAAAGGATTCATATAGAGAATAGAGTACCTTATAGAATATCCCCACCCCAGAGTCAGTGGGCACAGATGCAGTAATTTGTGGCAGTGATTGCTTAAGTGCTTGCATCACCACGGTTAATTTGTTTTGAAGAGACGAGCAAGTGGAAGCACAAAATGTGCAGCCTGAGTATTGTATAAATAGGATCGGGAAAAATGTCCATTTTTGGGTCTCCGTTTTGGGGGTCTTATACATACAGTATAACATAGTAACATTGAAAGGGAAAGCTCAAATTCAACGCTATTTACACTGTGTTTGACACATTCCCCCAAGTAAGTAGCGGGAAGAATTCTGTGCAATAATAAGTGTTGAGGTTGGTCCTGGGGGGGGGGGTTGCCATTTATATGTATATATATATATATACATACGCGCACAGCTGTTGCCACGGCACGAAATCATGTCCGAAGCCGGACTTTGATCTTAAGGGCCATCATTTTTTAAAAATAAAAAAAAACATGTATCGTGGTTGTCCTTCGCATTCGTGTCGCCAGCTCCTCGCATCGTTCGGAGAGATCGTTTCATCTGCGCACCTTCTCTTCGAGCACGTCTTCTTATTTCGGCGGGCGACAGTATCCTGATATCATTTCACATAAACTTAGGTTAAACTGCACATGTGCGGTTCTCCGGTCCTTTGATTTTATAATCGTGGGATAAGCCTAGGATCCCTTGGGGCCACCGATTTTGAAACATCCCCAGACTCAGACTGTGGTCGGGTTGGATGAGGTGAGCCAGCATCACTAGAAGGATGGCAGTACTGCGGAGCATTTCTTGGCATTGTGGTTTCGCTGTCCATTTCCATTTGATTTTGAGAATTCATACAATGGAGGTGGAGCACTTGAGCAAGGCGGCCCAACCAGAGTGGCCACATGAGCGCGAGGAGAGGGTCAATTTCCTTTTTGCAGCTTGTCCAGAGGACGGAGCCGTGCAAGCTTTTCAGGAGCTAGCCGCTGAGACCATCCAAGGCCAGTGGCAACCCGGAAAGCAATGAATCGAACGCATCGAGCGAAGCTCAGATTGGTTGAGATCTGAGGCATGCTTTTTCGGAACGCCAGCAACGGCAGCGCCGCAGCCAGGAACTGACGGTCCCGTTTCAAGCGCCGGAAGCGCTCTCAGTGCCCACCGTGAACGGCTCAATGCCCAGTCGAGCAACGCAGACCTCCCGCCCGGTGGCCGGGACCCGGTCAAAGGATCACCAGCACAAGTTTGTGAACGCTTGGAAGCCGAACGGGAGAAGCCTTCCTGACACTTCAGATGAAAAAACGATGACATTCGACCTGGCCAGCAACATCTTACGGACGGGTGCCTATTTCAGAAAGAGGGCCGGACGACGTTCCACAATCACCCGCTATTTCTTTGTGGGCGACCCCCACAGTTCACAAGGGTTTCTGCGATATTTCCAAACTCACAAGGCTGCTTCAACCACTACACCACGAGGCACTTTTGATTTGCTGGACCTTGTCAGGCGCATGGATGCACAGGGTTGATAGTGAACCTGAAGGAATTAGCAAGGGGTCTTGTAAACAAAGGAGCTGTGCTTGGAGTGCTTGTCCGGGTGTTTTCTGAGGGCCACCTGGGACGGCGAGCAGCGCTGCGTGACGCTGACGCAGTCAACCAAGAGCGATGTTTCAGAGCGGGGCCTGGTCGACATCCCTGAAAGCTTTTTCCAGGCCAAAGCAGACCAAAGCACGCTGATGCAAGCAGCTTTGCATGTAAGCCGTTTACAGCCTTGCCGGAAAAAGAGCTCTTTGCATTCAGGCGCTGCTCTTCGCCGTCCATGAGGCAGAGTTTCGGCGCCAACACCCCGAGATCGCCTCAGCGCGGTGAGGAAGCAAACCAATTTAGCGCCGACGTGAAGCATCACATGGCAGCCACGCTTCAGCACTTGCAGCACTCCGTCTCAACAGAGGGAGAAGGTCAGTTGCAAGTCGCAGCCTCCGGCGATGAAGTGGCACATGCCGAGAGGGAGAAGTCGCCTTTCCTGCGAATCTTGGTGTCCCTGAAGCCTTCAGACAGCCCGCGCAGCCTGCGGAGCCTGCGCAGCCTGTTCAGCTTGCGCAGGGCGTCTGGTTGCTCAGCCGGCTTAGGCGGCTTAGCCTTGCTTGTGGCTTTCGATCACGGAGGATGGCTTTGCCAGCAACCCTCCAGTGGAGGATGCTTTTAGGCGTTGGGCGTTGGATTGCTGGGAATTTCCGAACACTACCTAGGACCTCAATTGTCAACGCTTGGCGCTTCAGTACTGTTTTCAGGCAGCTACCGTGATGCGCATCCAGAACAGCCCGAGAAGAATCTATTTGGCATTGCCTTTTCATTTGCTTTACACGATACTGTGGGCAGCTTGCCTTGTGCTGGACCTCGAAGAAGGCGGAGGACACACAGAGAAAAAGAGAAAAAGGCTGTCGGAGTCTCGAAGCAAGTTGTGAAAAGGAAATGAATCCGTCAGGCACTGCCAGGGAAACGCTGCGCAAAGTACAGTAGGTCAGGATGAAACTTGATGAAACTGCCCTCCAAGCATTCCCCGGCCTGTCAATGGTTTCCATGATGCGCAATTACTGATTCAAACCAGTGGCTTTAGTTAAATGTCGAATCATTGAATATCACGCCGTGGAAGAAAACACCAAGCATAGGAGGAAGCAGGCAAAAAAGAAAGAAAGACGAGCAAAGCAGCAAATCCGCACCTCCGCAGAGTGCGAAGGAAGAACGGGGAACATGTAAGGATCAGCGAGGTCCGTCACTAATTAACATAGATAGTACTTCTAAAGACTTTCTGGCTATATTCAAGAGGGAAGTCAGCAACCGTTTTGAAGCTTGGGTAGGCAAGTAAGGGCTCTTGGAGCTGACGCACAATCTAGCTTTGCGCAGCGGCGATCTGCGCTCGCTCGTCCAGTGGACAGTGTTTGCGCACGGTGGCTCTATACAGTGTTGATGTGGAGCGAGCAGGAACCCCTTCGATCCATCAGGGTCCTTCAGAATTCGTATCATCAATTCCACGAGTGAGCCTAATATAACTAACTACGTGCTGGCGTCCCCTTTTCTTGGAGCCTAAAATGGAGTCCCAATTGTGCTGGCGATGTTCCATGAGAAGCCTTCGTTAAAAACGATGTTGTTGCTGCTTTCTATTGCTTTTTTAGGATTGTAAGAAGGTCAGAAATCATCGGCAGCGCTGTGAACATGGATTTCTGCGCAGACCTACCACTTGTTGGCAACCCAGAACCAAGAGTTGCACACATCTTACAGTGATGTACAACGGTAGCATTGGAGACTCCAAATTGGTGGGAATACGATATGAAGGACTCAGAGAATGTGCTAAGTATGATCAAATTTTAGTTTTTCTTCACAGTAGACAGATCCATCTTTCCGCTACTCAAGAAACTGAAGCTGAAAGCACTCATACGATTTCTAAGTAAGGTTGGGAGATTCTGCATTCAGGTGCTTCTAATGCTAAACATCATGGAGTTGGCTTTTTTGTCTCCCCATTCCTTCGTCCTCATGTGTCAAAATTCTTGGCTCATTCATTCACCTAAGATCTTTGAGATCACCATCCAAACTAATCCCCATCCCATCACTGCTTTTGCCATTATGCTCCTAGCACTGTCGAAGACTCAACTGAAGATCAGGCTAGAAAGGAGCACTTTTGGTCACAATTGGACTCCATTATTACAGACAACCCCAACTCCTCTTACCTTGTTATTCTTGGGGATTTCAATTCCAGGCTTGATCCAGATTTGGACCCCTCTCATGGGCAAAAGACAGCCAATTGCAGATCCCGATAGGGACAATGCTCTTTACCTTATGGAGTTTCTTCAGTCACACTTGTTAGTTTTACCACAGACCTTTTCTCATATTGATGACAAGCTTACAGTCACTCATAAGGAAATGACCACTACTAATGATACTCTTGATGAGTTAGACGTACACAATTTGACTACGTCAGATTCTGCTGCAGCTACACATCCAGCGTATGCAGACATTACTTTTCAAGGCTCCATCTGTCAACAGCTGATTAACACTAGACATCTTCCCCTAGTCGTCAAATTCGAGACGTCTTTTAATCATCAGCCCCGAAAATCTACCTCTCCTCCACTAGATTATTCTCAGACATCTTGTTTCTGCTCTGCAGTTGAATCTGAACTTCTTGCCTCAACTGGTATAATTCTATTTTGGATTACTACTGCATCCTCCACTCTTGTAGCTTGTACTGATGGCTCCTGTCCCAATAATAGGACCGTCGGCTTGATAACCCTGCGGGTTGGGGTTTTACATTATACACCAGCGATTCTCCTTTTACGTCCCATCTCCCGGTCTCCTCTAATTGGCTCGTTTCTCACGGTTTGGTCGAAACCGCTTCCTTAGATGACAATATTCTTCTCCCCGTGGATGGATCCAACAACACAAGTGAAATGCGAGCTATCATAGAGCTCTTCGACTGTATTCTGTATTACTCACATCTCCCCCAGGGCTCACATATTTCTTTGACTCTGCTTACGTTATCCGCTTTCTACATGGGGACCATATCCCCTCTACTCACCACCAACGTTGTTGAGCTAGCACAGCGGTGTTTCACCGCCCTCCGCATGCTATCTATCATGCTGTTCGCCACAAGGTTCCGTCGCATCAAGGAATTCCGGGCAATATGATTCCTTAGCCAAACGAGGTATTATCACACATGGCACTTTAGGACGATTTGCTCCTCAATACTAGACCCTCCGCAAATTGGCTACAATTCTCATCTTTGGCTATTTAAATCTTCACAAGAACTGCGCAAGTTTCTCTCAAATCTCCTTAAGAAACATTTATCACTCATTCCTCCTCTCCCAGTTTCTCCCAAGACACCTTGGATCTCTCCCAATACATTAGCGCTCATCTCCTCGTTTCAAAATACTTCCGATGTTACTCTACCAGAACTCAAAGCGCTGCGCTTAAAAGAATTAAAACATCCACAGCTGGGGATAATAAAGAATTTATCGCCACGCATCTCCATTCTGATTTCCGCGGCTCCTCCATGTGAAAGCTCCCACGCGAGGCTGGTGACGGCATTGTTGCATGCGTTTACTTGACGTTGCCGAGCCCGGTACTGGCAATACTTGCGCAATTGGGTCTTGCTCATCTGAGGTGGCTCCTTTCGGTACCACGCAGGCATTTCCATGGCGGTTGTGCTACTGGCTCTGCGGTTCTACTGCTTTGCATGAGAACCCTCCGCCACAGAAGTCCAGCCGTAAAACAAAAGGTTCAAGTCAGCCTTTCAATCTCTGCGCTGGTGCTGTTGCGGCACAACACTCCATTCAGCAATGGAAAACGGTTCGCTCCATTCGTAAGCCTTTCACTCCCTAGTAAGTCAATCTCAAAGAAGCACAGCATTTGCTGAGTACCTTTCTCAAAAAGTCCGGAAATCTCCTGAAAGTTCTGCAGATGTGCCAAGTACCCCCGCTTCTGTCATAGACTGTTCCGCTCGCTTTGCAATGGGTGAACTCAACATAGTCCTTCGCTCACTTTGCTCAGTACGGGCCACTGGCCCGGATACCATTTCTTCAGATCTTTTCAAGGGCTCCCCGTACATTCTCAAACTAATTCTGTTAGACCACTTTAAACACTGTCTCCAGACCTCCACTTCTCTTGATTCTTGGGCCGTCTCTGAAGTAGTTCTGCTCGTCAAAATTCAGCTTGATTCTCACGACCTCTTTCGCTATCGTCCCATCTGTCTTATTAACTCAATGCATATTTTTGTTCGCATATCTTTTACAAGTTATGGCTCTCACTTTTTTAGCAGTCTTGTCCGCGATGCTCAGTTTGGTTTCAGACCCTCCAGATCCACTACCCAGCCGATCCACATCATGCGTCATATTCTAGAAGTCTATAAGCGTTAGCAGAAGTCGCTCCATGTTGTATTTCTTGATTGGTCGAAAGCTTTTGAGTCCGCTACCTTTCCAGCCATTCGTTCTGCTCTTTCACATGTCGCTGTTCCTCCATTAATTATTCACTAAGTCATGTCACTTTGTGCTTCACCTGCTTTCCGCGTTAGAGACTCTGGTAGGGTCTCCCAAGACTTCCCTCAAACTCGTGGTCTCCGTCAAGGTTGTTGCCTCTCTCCGTATCTTTTTAACTTTGTTCTCACTCACCTGTTCTTCGACGTTGAGTCCTCTTACACCTCCCACTTCGGCTTTTTTTTCGGGCGTCGCAAACTCCCAATCCCCTCTTTGGGATTTAGAAGACGCTGATGACACGGCTCTCCTCTCTTACTCCTCCGAGCAGTGTACTCGACTCCTTCATCTTGTACAAAAAGAAGCTTCTGTTCGTGGTTTGCTCCCTAACTTTGATAAGTGTGCTCATCTTCCCCTCAATCCAGACGCTTGTATCCCCTTTTCTCCAAATCTCAGGTCGCCGTGTGACTGCTCATCGTGTCTTGGACATACCCCCCCCACTGAACTCGTCCCGCTATCTGATGAAGTTAAGTATTTAGGAGTCTTCCTCGATTCCATGTCGAACAACAAAAAGAACGCCTCCTTTCAGCTTCAAGACTTCTGCGTTCTCTCCTATCACACACCTCCATCATGGAAGCTCACGGTTTACAGATCCATTGTACAATCCATTCGCCTTTACGCTATGGATCGCGCCCAACTTTCTTTTTCCCAGCTCAACAAGCTCAACCACATCCATTTGAAATCCATGAGTCGTGTTGTCAAAGATAAATCTTCATTCCTCAACCCCTCCGATGAGTCCTGCTCTAACCAATTTCTGGCTGGACTTGCCTTTGATAGCCGTAGAGTTATTACCCCTTCGTAGCTCTACTCCCAAAATCATCTTACCCTGTTAGGACACCTTTTTAGGCACCCTCAGTCCCTGGAATATCAGTCTACTTCTATGCCCTCAGGACAATACAGGTTCACCAGAGGTCCTAATCGCACCGGAAGACCTCGCGTGCATTGGGCAGAGTCTACAATGGCTGAAGCCTCACAGAGAATTGCTCACCTTAGTTTTGACGAGCCTCCCTCCCATTACGACATTGGACATTCCTTTTTCTCTATTCCCAACTCCTCGGCAGTCAGGCTCACCCATGTTTCCAACTCCCTAGTATGGATGGATAGTACCATTCTTTCTTGTAGGATTAGGCCTAGGGCTCTCATTCGTAGGGAATGGGCAACAAGTGTTCATAAACCCCCTAAAAACCCACTACGTTGAACGATGCCGGGGCAAACGGGTTTGAGTCAGAAGCCTGCACAGTTCAAAAAAAAATGCCACGGGGGTGGAAGGTCTTCGGGCTTAGGGCTTGGGTCCTTAAGCATTTGGTGGTGTTGCCTTCTGTTGTGTCCTATCCTCCAGCTTGAGCTGATGCAGGGGTGTCCTTCGTCACCTTGTTTCGGTCCTCTAGTGGGGTCATCAGGTAAATTTACATGATGCTTCCGAACATGTAAATCCCGTCTCCTCCCGTCCGCGTTTCTCAACTCTCCTCAGTCTCCTGTCCCTTTTCCCCTCATTCTCACTGATGTTTGCTAATTCCCGACTCCCTCGACTCTCTCTTGTTTTTCTGTTTTGCACTTGGCCCAAAGGCCTCCGCGGGTGCCACACGGGCTAGCGGACGCTTCCACAAATCCACTGCTCACACATTGTTTGGGCAACCTTCTTCCAGTCGTTCGAAAAAGGGGGGGCGAATATGCCATGTCTTGACGAGCATCTGAGCATTTTGGTGATCGCGACATGTGCTTCCATAGGTTTCGGCTCCAGTTTGAACATGCGCATTTTGATCGTCCACCATCTCGCTCATAAACGCGCGTGCATCAGCACTCATGGCTTGCTGCACTTTTTTCCGACGCTTGTTCCAGCTCCAACCATTATAAAGCCTCTTGCCTTCAAGTATTTGTCCACGACGGTAGAGGGCTGTGGGACATGCTCAGTCAGAAGTTTGTAGTTTAGCGAAGAAGCTGCGACATACGGCGCTTCAATGTTTGTTATATAGTTGTCTTGCGAGCTGGCATGAGCTATCACGACAGGTTTGCATGACCATTTGCGCCAAGAATGTGTATGGATGGCAGACAAGCTGAATCAAGATGTCAACAGAACTGAGAGTCATTGAGAGGAATGATGCGTCCTGTGAGTATTGTGCTGCATATCCACCACACTTACATGGCAACAGCCGTGCTCTTGTTGGTTGGATCATGGGAGTCATGTGGTTTGCTAGCTTGTGGCCTGTGCATCTGGATGTCCGCCGCGATCCTGGCCAATTCTTCTGACCGCTCGGTCGTCCATGCTCCAAGACGCCGGGAGTGAGAGCAAAATCCCATTATCCTTTGATGGCTGTGGAATTTGTGGATTCTTTGTGGCTGTTTGGCAGCTGCTGTCCTTCAGATTGGATGTGATCATTTGTCAAAGCTTGGGCTGAATTTTGGACATGGATGTAGACCAGGTCGGTTTTCTTGAATCTTGTCATGTTATGTGCAGAAGACGGAATTTGATGCGAGAAGGTGCCAGACAGTTGTCTCTTGCAGTGTTGTAGCATTCAAACAACTTGCCTACAAATGTTCAGGCATCAGGACCAGACCAAGATGTTGCAAACATACCTCGCATTCGCGTACATAAATCCGCACTGGGGATTGTTGGATGGTTGAACCATGTTGAACCATTTTCAATGTGTTGAGTCGGTTCCGCGCGAGCGAGGGAAGGGTGGTGGCAGAGGTTTGTTCGAGCATTCGTTTACCCCTGCTAGCCTTCTTTCTCTTGTAACGATTTGTTTCGTTCTGTACCGTTTGAGAGGCATCCCGCAGGCCGTGGCTTTATACGCTATGGCCCGTGACCAGTGGATTGCGTGTAGTTTCAGGATTCGCACGCAGTTGGGTTGAATTGGCATCATGCGACGAACATGTCACTCTTCAGAGGCACACATGGATCGAGCAAACGTTTTGTTCTCGCGCCGCCATTTGTCCAAAACACGCTCGCAGATGTTGCGAGCACTGGCCAAATAGTGCGATCCAAGCAAAAAGCTTTTGGGCGATAGCCTTATCGTGATGTGTTGCTCCCTTTGCGGCAGAAGCTGCACTTCAGGTGAAGATATGGCCAACTTGAGGTCGTTCGAAGGCACGACGCTGTCGGTTTGGCCATGCAACCAGCAGCTTTGTGTGCCAAGGATTGCAATTGAATTTGTTCAAGCTTTTCGAGAAGCAGGGTGCCAACCACGCAGACATCTTCATTCAGGCCAGGAGACTTTAAAGACATGGGTTTCAGAGGCGTGCTTCACAGGGGACAGGGCTCAATGCATTCAAGGCCGAAGGACGCGAGATTCCCGCGCACAAGGCCAGCAGAAACTGCCCTGTTGAGACTGTGACGCAATTATTGTTGCAACATTTTTCTTGGACAGGCAATCCTGGCTGCACACTCGGAATTCTTGTCTGGACTCTTCGCGGAAAATCCGGGCCATGAACGTGTGGAGCCAGAAGCCGAGCAAGCCGAGCACGCAAAGGAACACACGAATGTTTGACTCAGGCTGGAGCACAAGTTTTCTGTTGCCAGGGCCCTTGCAAGAGAGCTGGTAGCAGCTGGCAGCAGCTGGCACAGTGCCTTTTCTGCCACTCCAAGGTTTACACACTCGTCCGCTTGCTGTGACCTTGCAAGCGTCAGTTGCAGGTCGCCTTTGACAAAGTAACCTAGTTGCAGGTACTTCGGTGGTCTGGCTGCCGAACGGTTGACACCCTTGGAAGGTGCAGTTGAGTCATGAAGCGGGCTCGAAAGTGGTGAATAGTGACCTGATGTGACCTGAACGGTATTGATGAAGGCTTGGATCTCCTCAGCCTTGCAGAGGTTGGTCTCTGCCTCAAGTCTGAAGGCTGTAGATTTCTTTCGCTTTGCACTCAGGAGCTTCAGGTCAAGGCGGTTGACGCAGAAGACGTCCGGCCCATCATCGTGCCTGGGTCCTTGCGGAAGTTTGGCGTTCTTGATTATTGTTGTCAGTCAAGGAATGGCCTAGATGAGTCGAATTGGCACTTCCGGCGAGTGCGAATGTAAACCTAGTGACGATTGAAGCAGAGAACCTGCCGACCTGCCAGTGTGGATGTCCTCAACCACGAAGCGCTTCACAAGTTCCCCGAGTTCGAGGATGATTGCATGGTCTTGGAACTTGCCATCAACTTGTGCTTTCATGAGCCGCAGATTGCCAATCTGCCAATCTATTCAAATGTAGGGCCATGTACGGGAGGATCGGACAGGTATCATGCAGTCAGTGTTGCGAGGATGCTGCCTGCAAGTTTACTGGTGAACATCTGCAGCCGATGCTGAAAAATCGAAAAGAGAGCCTGCTCAAGGTTCCAAGGCCACAGCTTGCTGCACAGCTGTGGCACAGCTACGCTTTGAGCTGAGGATGTTGTTTGGAAACAGGCATTTGCTGACCGTTGTTCTTCAGTATGCTTGTCACCACGCCGGCGCCCTGGCGCCCTGGAGCCGTGCTTCAAGCTCAGAGCGCTCTGGAACCTTCATCCATTTGGAGCATCTGAGGTCTCGAGCGATGCAGAAACAGACCTTGTGGCCAGGGACCACAGATTTCACGTGTCTAGTGCAACTCCTGAGCTTCAGGTAAAGTATTGCTTGAACCACACGCAGATCGATTCGGCGCCTGGTTCCCAGACCCTTGCGATTAAGGCGTTGAAGGGAAGTCGCTTTGATGTGAGGTGCGACCTTCTGAGGGAAACGAAGACCTGGCAGTGGGGCAGCCTGGGCCTTGACGAAGATAAAAGCCCACGGCACCGCTCTAAACTGCTGAAGAGCCGAAGAGCCTCAGAGGTGGCGACTTTTCCGTGCTTGGCTCGCTCCCTGCTGAGGTTACCCTGCGGTGCCTTTAAGTGAAGTCCACGGCGAAAGAAAGTCCTTTCTTTTTTTTGTTTCTGCTTGGGGAGGACTGCTCAGAGGAAGCGAGCCAGGTTTGGCGCATTGATGGAGTGCCGGGAGCTCAAAAAAAAGAAAAGAGGGAAACTTTTTTACCAAAAGCCGCCAAACGCCAGACCCAGACTTCTCCACACGGATTTGCTTTCCTGGCAGGCGAGCCGCAATGGATGGAACTCCTGCAAAGGCCAAGTGAAACAGCGCTGCCATCGCTGCCATGGTCGGTGGGACGAGGGCTCGCATCGCGTAGGTCGTAGCTGGAAAGTTTTTTGATTGGTGCATCCGCCTGGACTATGGCGCTGAGGCTGGAGCAGCAGACTTCTCTGACGGTAGATGTGGCATGTGTGATGTGTTTGTCAGGGAAAGCTGCGCTTGGTGTATGAAAGCGCGAAGCCGACGGAGGCTGGGCGGTTGGGCCACGCTGGGCCACGCCTGTGGGCTTACTGGGACTTCCCACTCAAGGTGAGGTCAATATTTCTGATATCCAGTTCATCAAGCCGTTCGTTCAAAGAGTAGGGTCGCGTTCTACAAAAGACCCCATAGGCAATCAATCAACCAATCAAACAATCAATCTTGCCAGCGCTCACCTGACGCTAGCCGGTAGCCGGTGGGTCATTCAAATGAGTATAGTCCCCATGCATTTGGACTGTCAGCGGGTTAATCGGCAGCGCTTGAGCTGTCTGTTCGCACTGCACAAGTATACATATGTTGGCCACCTGCCCTCATTGCACAGTGACACGATGATGTTGAGGCGCATGAGTGCAAACAGTGACTTTGGCGTGGTTCCCACATGTAGCTACTCTTACGTGGCAGGATTACAGCACCGAGATGACTGATGATAAAACAGCGATCTAGATTTCGGCCTGTCCCGGAGGCTCACTATTATGATATGTCTCTTCTTTCGGGAATCTGGACTTCTGTTTTGATCGCCCAGTGGCGTGGCACCAGTGCCGTCGCTGCCGTTAGAGTGGTTCTACATATGGTTACTCATCACTAATCGCACATTTTTCTTGAAACGCTGATTGTAGCGAAGTTTGTCAGCCTACGGTTGTGAGTGCTCGATCGCAGTCTGATTCCCAACCTAGTTCAATGCATGCCAGCAACATCATTCCTCCTCAGCGTACTTACGGCGACCGCCGGAAGATACACGGCATGATTGAGCGAAGACTCGCTTCAAACACAAGAGTTCTCGCAGCTTGAGGAGTCTCATCTTAGGTGGCATTTTCGTCAGCATATCGGCCAGCAGCGATCCCCCGAATTGTGCAAAATCATCACATCACACAGATTCATTTGATCACGCGACCAAGACGCTCGCAATGCAAACGTCCTTGTTCTCCACGTCCCAATCGTGAAGTATTCCCGATCGGCCACTGTCACCGCAGCCGCATTGTCGCCATAGATTTGGAACTGGTTTTTCAATGGATGCCCCGCCGCATCAGAGGCATCGCTGGAGGCATCCCGCCTCCCATCATCTCGACCATTGACGTGACGACACAAGTTTGGTGTGCAGCGTAAGTATCTCCAGATCTTGCGAGCAATCTGGATTACGCGGAGTGATCGCAAATAGGGAGGCCACCTGAGACAACGTTGCGAGGATATCCGCTCTCATGTCACTGGCTAGCCAAGGCAAACATCCAATTTTAGTCTGAGCCTCCCGCAAGTGTTGCTTCTACATGCCCCTATCCCGATCTTCACCAGGCCCCTGCTCAAGGATTGGTAGTGATGGGCCGCCAGAAAACCAGCGCTGCTGATTGATCACAACCTCGCCACCCGCAACGTGAAACTGCTGTCCAATAGATTCATGAACATGGAAGCAGAAGGAGCTCGAGAAATGCAACCGTTTAGTTTTGTCTCCCGAGTGTTTGACAACTCAAGAATAGCAAAGAATGGCAGTCGCAGCTTCTGGCAGCCCGATGCACCAGATGTCATCCACGCACATGGCACACAGTGCAACAACATGCAACCATTTTCTGAGATTCAGATTCAAAAATGCGGAATGAAGCCTCCTGATAATCCGCCAAGGAAGTCATAAGCTCCCGATGGTCCTGATTCACAGCATATTTCAAGGTCTTCCCACGCACGGTGTCATCCCGAAGCTGTGCCCACTTCTTGGGTGACCGTCTCTGCCCATAGATGTGACGCCTCGCCCGCCATATGCTGTTAGGTGCCACTAAGCCAAGTTTCTTCAAAGCAGCAGCAGCGCAGCCGGTGGCTCTTGCAGGACAATCTCAGTAGGATCAAGCTCGGAGTTGAGGAACACGATGTGCTGACATGCCCATTGGCCCCGGCCCAAGAATCATTCATGCTGCCTGCACGCACGCCATCAACTTAAATGCAATCGGCGGCGCGTTCGATTTGGCGTTGTCGTCATGTTCTTGGACACCCTCGAAGTTCACACATGCGCATAAACGAACCTTGGGCTGTCCACGGCAGCCAGCTATCTCAGATTTCTAGTCTTCATCTGAAACTGAAACCTTGGCGGGCGTTGCGTCCTCTGGCTCGGCTGCTACCACCAGTGTGCGTTGGAGATTTTTCATCTGGGTCCAGCCCCGGCTGCTACCATTTCTCTTGATGCTCAGGTGTTTCTTGGGCGAGACTCGTGCTTGTCACGATTTTTGCATTTGCCTTCGCTGCCATGCTGTCCTGCATACTCACCTGCAGTGGTCTCTTTATCAGCGTCCCCAACCTGATGAGCTCAAGCGTCCGAAGGATTAGGCAATGTTTGGTAGACTCATAGTACATGTTTTATAACTGCGAGGGCAGAGGGCCTCTTGATTGATAGCGTCTTGGATGCCACAGACACTGGCACTGGAGCTGGCGCCTTTAAGAAGTTCCAGAACTCTGATCTGTCGGAATGGCGAGCTCGCTTTCGTGATTGCCCGCCTCCTCGTTTTAACATTCAAGGTTCAAGACTTCAAGAATTCCTGACGCTGAACAACAGCCGCTTCACGTACTGCAAAAGCCCACAGCTCTGAAGGGGATCTGGTTTCCAGATCATATTTAGACACCTTTTCCTTCAAGTACCTACTGGCTCGCTCAGCTCGCGCATCAACAGCAAAATATTGATGTAGGTAGCGCGATAGATCCCTTCTGCTCTGAAGCGGCCTTCATGTCCTTTGCCGCACAGTCAGCAGCGTAATCACTATGCGGTTTGACCACATCTGGTCTAACCTCTGCCGTCGCATGAACCTTTCCCTCAATCTGCGCCTCAAAACATTCCCAATGCAGTCTTGATCACGCTTCTGGTTTCCCTCTGACTCAAATGAGGACTGCCCGGCGGGGAACACAGGGTGCTTAAGGCAACTCGCTTCTTCTGCGCCTCGAGATGAGGTTCAGAAGAGGCGCAAGCCGGGTCCAAAGCGTTAACTCCCTTGAGTAACCTGGTGGTCTCAAACTAGCCGCTTGCACTGTCGCCCGCGTCAGAGGCATACTTAGGCACAACTTGCGCCGCATAGCCGCCAGGGGTTGTCCTCAACACAACAAGGAGCCCGGAGTTGCAAATCCAGGCTTTCTTACGCACCGTCACAAACAATCAAGACAGGTGCAACCGAGCAAGAAGCAAGACCGAGCTCATGAAGAACCCTCGGACGCATCACAAATGGCGTGGTGCGTAGCAAAGGGCCAGCAGAAAGCACAGAGCATCGTGCAGCGCGGCAGACGCCGGTACACGCGTTCGACGTGCCCAAACGTGGGTCAGAAGATTCAGCGGCAAGCAGTCTGCAAGTCATGTTAAAGTGCATACTGATACTCGTGAAGTCTTTGAGCAGGACATCAAGGTTGCGAACTTCAGTGTTGGGCGCCGAGGTTTAGATTTTCCTTCGCATGGTGTTCCCCGTCCACTACCTCGCGAAATGAAGCAGAGCATGATCAAGCAAGACCGGGTGTTTTTGCTGGTTTAGCACGTGCAGGACAAGCCCTGAGTTCAGCGTGATGGATCCTGTCTTGCAGCATGTGGCGCACACTTCTCCTTCCCAGCCTGTAACTTCTGCGCACGCTGCCGGTGATGTTGTTCACGTTGGCGGACGGGGGCGCTTTCAAGGAAGTGTCTCTCCTTTTTTGGAGTAGCGGAAGCTATTCACGAATGGATTACAAGACTTTCTCTGATAGCCCTGGGTCCGCATGGACAACAGCAGGGTAGTGATGAAAGGTCCGCTAGCTCCGCTAGGAAATTTCCCCTGAAATGGTCATGGAAGAAGTCAAGAGGCGAGTTCAGCTAGCTATGGCAGATAAGGATGTCGTGCTTCAAGAGCTGAGTCAGCAGAATGCTTGGTTGGTAAACAAGGTGACGGGGCTTCACCCTGAGGTTAAATTCCGATTGGCCTCATGAAGAATGAAGTTCAGTTGCAAGGCCCCTCAACACTTGACGGGGTGCTTCGCTTACGCGCCCATCGGTAGCTGCTAAGCTAAGTAAAAACTCAACGCGATGCTGGCTAAGCTGACAAGGCTGCAGGCCCTTGAAGTTAGCGTGAATCACTGAGTGCTGCAGTAGCTGCAGGTTTGGAGTTGGATGCAGGAGCTTCAACACTGCAGAATGCGTGGACGTAGAACAAGCTTCTACTGTTCACACTTCTCATGGCAGCAGATGACTCAGAAGCAGCTAACGCAACGCCCATTCTTCCAAGTTGGAGGACTTCGAAGGACACGTTTTGTTCAATTCTTGTATTTTGCTTTTGAGGAGATGAACACACGGGACCTCATGTTGGGCAAATGTGTGACCGCAGCTAGTCCAGGGTGCCTGCTGGACGCGTTGCTTCCTGGCAACTTTCACTTTGCACCTTTGCCCCAACATGTGACTAAGGATAGAAGCACTGGCACGCTTATCTTCTGAACAAGCAGACTCGCAAGGCGACGCCGCCTAAACACCAGGCAGTGCGGCTTTTTCGGCGCGATGGTGAACCTGAAGCTGACGCGCAAGTCAAGGAGTCTGAAGCGTGATGGTTGTGGACTTTGACGTGGCAAAGAGCAAGAGATTCCCCTTATAGGGAGACAGCCTGCTGTGCAAGTGATGCGCATCAAAAACAACATATAAGGATCAAAAACCAAATAAGGATCAACAAACCAAATAAGGATCAAAAAACGAGAGAAATCAAAGGGAAACCGGCCTCCCCAGCCAGCGCACAGAAGGATCAACAAAAAACCAAAATTTCGTAGTATATAGAGAGAAATCAAAGGGAAACTGGTCCCCCAGAGAAAGCAATGCAGGCAGGAAGAACGGAAGAAAGGAAGGAAGGAAGGAAGGAAGGAAGCAAGGACGGGAAGGAAGGAAGGAAGGAAGGAAGGAAGGAGAGACTTCTCATCAGTCTCATTCGCAGAAAGTCTTCGGAATGGCTACGAAGCAGGACTTAAGAGAGCAGTCGGGAATTGTTGGGAATTAGTGGGAAGTATGCGTAATCCTTAGTAAT